AGTATTCTTAAAATGCATTCAAAATTCGGAATAATTTGTAATATATAATTATTCATGCATGGTATTTGTGCCCAAGATAACAATATCGTGCATATTCATTACCGTGATATATCACATTACCGAATACCGGCACAAGTCTAACACACACTCACACACACACACACACACATACACACACACACTCCCTGCATGCACAAACATATTTCAGCTTCTCAATTAGTGAAATGTGAACCGGAGGTGAAATATGCCCAGGGCTGTTTTCAAATCTGCTTTGAGCGATAAGGTGACAAATTGCACTGTGCTCTCGACGGGTGTTTTTTCACAGCCCCGGTGATTCCACGCACGGCGGAACAAACCGGCAGCATTCGCACAACTCCGCACGCATACAAAAGTGCCACTTTAAGGAGGGAGAGGAGATTGTGAGACGTTTTGTGTTTCAAAAGGAGAAGCTTCTCTCCACGGAGCAACATGTCAACACTAGCAGGAGGTGACTGGCCTTTAGATGCTGATTTATTTTTTGTTCCCAGGATGTCTCGTGGGAGACGTGTGACTGCAGGCGGCTGGAAGAGTATTAAAAGAATTACAAATATATCTGAGGAGATTCCGAGCCACAACCACAGGCTAAAAACACGTGTGATCTGTGGAAGGTGAATGATTCTGTTTCATCACGAATGACAGAGATTCTGGCAGAGGATATATAGAAATATACAGAGAATACAAACCATACACTTGTCTATATTGTCTATATTGAGTTTATACTTGATCAACTTTCCATCTTTACTGCATGTAGCTTTGATAGCATTTTATTTGCTGTATAATACCATTGTTTTGGTTTCACATATGAGACCATTTAGATGAGAGTCTGTCAAGAGCACATTTAAAAAGTCATATCATCAACTATAGAAACATGGGATTTGAGCTGCAAAGTGGAACTGAAATAGATTTGGTAATAAAAGAATCTAGAAATGCAAAAACATTAATTTTATTTAATTGACTAATATAATTGAATCAAATAAAAATAAATTAATGCATTTAATAAATATTTAGTAAATATTGAGATGGTTTTTGGTTATTTTAAAAACTCAACCTTAAAAACATCAGCAAAATGGAACTGAAATATATTGGTAATACAATCATCTAAAATTAAATAATAATAATAATAATTGAAGCAAATATTTGTATTAATTTAATAAATAATATTTAATAAATATTGAAATGATTTTTGGTCATTTCATAAACATTAAAAACATTGGGATTAGCGTGACAAAATAGAATTGAAAAAGATTTGGTAATAAACTAAGCTAAAAATAAAAATAACAACAACTGAATAATTTAACTGAATAATAAAAAAATACAAATAAATTAATTAATTCAACAAATAATATTTAATAAAAATTGAGATTTTTTTTATTTTATTTTTTTATAAATATTGAGGTTTTTAGTTATTTTATATATTTTTTGACAACCTTAAAAACAATGGATTTGAGCATCAAAGTGGAATTGAAAGATTTGGGAAGAAGCTAATGATGATGATGATGATGATAACAATAATAGAATATAAATAACTTAATGAACTTAAGTAAATATTTAATAAATATTGAGATGTTTTTGTTTATTTTATAATTTTTTTATATTTCATTATCATAGTTATTATCATAGTTTAAAAATAGTTTAAAAATCAAATTTTATATTTTAAGATTAAAGTTCTATGTCTTTGAAAAAGAGAAGAAAAAGAATCAATACAAAAAAGGTGAAAAGTATAATGGTGAAGGCATGGTAAAAATTGGCCTTCATATATCAAAAGGAAAAATAAATCTGTCAGTTTGAATCCAAATCAATCCCTGGGACATGAAATTGTCTGTATTTGAATGAAGGTTCCTGCAGTAGTGAGTTTGGAGAAGCCACACAAAGACACCAGTAATTGATTTCCAGGCCTTTGGAAATATATCAGACGAATTCACAATGCAATGCATTTACAAAAAGACACAGAGATCTCCATGGTGACGGTGAAATATGAAAGATTCAGGATTATAAGAGAAATTCTCACCCGCAGGAACGAGGGGAAGCCCAGTCCATAATAACCTACAGCAAAGTAGTCCGGCTTTGGTCTGATCACTTTCACGATGTTCTCATAAAACTGAGCCTGCTTCCTCTGAGAGACAAAGAGACACAGCTCAATTACAAACACTCTTTAATGACCATAAATACATTTTCCTGTTCAACAGTTGGTGATATGGGATTATGGATGGCTAGGTTGCATAATTAATATACTTAGCTCAATTAATTTGACAATTTACTAATATTACTATATAAAAATAAAAAGAATAATAAATAGGTTAAATCATAAAATAAGATAAAAATACAAATATAAAAATATCATGTTTTATTTCATATTAAATTATACACACACACACACACATATATATAAATTTAATATTAAATAAAAAAGATAACATAATGAATAAAAATATAAATTAATTTCCTTTCTGTTTTATTTAAGATAAAATAAATAAATAAAAAACATATAATACAAATATTTTTATATAAAATATTTAATATATAAAACAATAAAATTACATACACATACCGGTTTGTGTGGAACTACATAAGACAGTTAAAAACATCCAAACAAGTAATAAAAACAGGTTGAGATCAAAATGTGAAGGGTTACAATAAAAGTTACTCACAAACTTTTGTTCAGGACTCTGCAAAATGTGGCAACAGTTAATTTCAAATAAAATCAGACCACAATCGTTGTTTGTGTCTGAATGGATCAATTTGTCATTTGTTGCCAATTAGACAAAACTCCACTAATGAACAAAATGCAGAAACTCATCAAACCCCTCTGATCATTTAGATTAGGCCAATTTAGCGACTTTGGTGAACTTTAACAGTCTGAACGACTCATCAGTTGTTTGTTTCATTGAAAAACCTTGAGAGAGAAAGTTTGTACGTACCAGTAAAGCGCTCAGCTGCTCAAAGTCAAACATCTCGTTCTCATACTGTTCGGCTAACTCCTTCCCCAGGATAATAGCCTCCTCCCACATCTGAACACAAAGCACCACAACACACAGCAGACGTCATCTTTGGAGCTCATTATGTCAAAACACGGTGCTGTGATATCCTTCTAACCATCTGTGAACAATGCGCTTAGAGATGACTGTCAAACAAAAAGTGCTATCTGAGATGTGTTAAAGCGGATGCAAAAATTACCTAGCTGCACCACGCTGATCATGTTAAATATTTAAGAGATCATGAAAGGAATGTTCTGGGATTACCATAGAATATGATTCTGACCCATTACTCTGTAAAAACAAACTGAAAATTTGCATGCACAGTAATGCACGTCTAATGGAAGACTGAAACCGAAGGCTGTAAAAGCTTGTATTTTTAATGCATTGTTTTGTACAAAAAAAGTGAATTATTATATCAGGGATCGTGCAAGTTTCATGAAGGTGAATTTAAGACTTTTTAAGACCTTTAAGATAATTAAAGAAAATGTAAAGAATAAATTAAAGGGAATACAATACATCTATGTTCTCTTAATGTAGAGGTCTAACAAGAACACAATGAGTTGAATTAGCAACACGTTTGAAAATACAACTTCCAACTGATCTCAATTACTTTTTAATTAATGTACAAATAAATAGCTTAACTAGAAAAAAGAAATAACTTTTACTGTATATTTTTATACCTAATTGACAGATATTTGTTCTGTTTTAAGCACAAACTCACTTAATTCTTTTCACTTTCTCAAAAAACAAGACTTCATATCTTCAACTTGCAACTTAAGTGAATGTATCTTGAGTTAAGAATGTTTTCATATTTGTATTTGAAAACAAGACAAAAATACGTTTTTTTTTTTCAATGCATGCAATATTTAATGCCGTCACTTCATGACTTTTTATTTAAGACTATTTAAGACTTTCTGACCTTTTAAGGCCTTAAATTGTGAGAGTATATATATATATATATATAAAGTATTATATATATAATGCGGCATGTTATTTCTTTGGGTGGAGCAGGTGGCTTTAAGTGAGTCAATATCCATGACCTCATCTAAACAGTAATACGGATATTCCTCGGCTCTGACATTCTCTCATATCAGACTTATAACTTCAAATGCCAAGTGTAAATAAAACCTCCAGCTAGCATTACACTTCTGCTGCACAGGATTTGATATATAACTAATTCTTCAAATTAAACTTTGAGTGCATCCTGGCAGCACCGAGAGGGAGAGACTGTGATTATATATATCAATATTAGCAGTGCATTATTATTGAGAAAGCTGCCAGTAATAGTATCTGCAGTCTGTAGGAGATGATGTGGATTAGTTATTCAGACTAGAGGAAGAATAAAGCAAGTACGGTGCATAAAGCGAAACTTGCACTGTAATATTAGACCACATGTTCAGCATGAAAATGACTTTCCTCTATTTTCCTGTCGAGACTGCAGGGCACTAAAGGAATAGTTCACCTCAGAATGAAAACGTGTGTCATTATTCACACAACCTCAAGACGTCTCAAACTGTACACTGTTGTGGAAAACCAAAGGAGAATATTTTAAAGCATCTCTTTCCATACAAAAGGTTTTCAAAAACTATAAAAACTATAAAACTATAAACCTAGCCAACATGACTTCATGTGCTTGAATTCAGTCTTCTGAAGCAATACCCATTTTATTTTTGTGAGAAACTGACTTAAATTTAAAGTAAGTTATGCATTGAGAATATTCCATTCTTGCAAAAATCAACAGAATTTAAGTTTGGTTATTACAATTATCAGAACCAAAGTCATGTTTGCATCAATTATGGCACTGACTTGTGCACAAAAATAGTCTGATATTAACCAAATTGTGGTCATGCTATACAGGAAACAACATTAAATATTAAAAGAGATGCCATAGCCTACATTTACAGTATAAAACCTAGATTTGTAAACAATCAATCTTTCATTAAAATGTAGGGAACTGAAGGAAAACAAAAGGCTTTCAAAAACTATAAAAACTATAAAACTATAAACCTAGCCAACATGACTTCATGTGCTTGAATTCAGTCTTCTGAAGCAATACCCTTTTTATTTTTGTGAGAAACTGACTTAAATTTAAAGTAAGTTATGCATTGAGAATATTCCATTCTTGCAAAAATCAACAGAATTTAAGTTTGGTTATTACAATTATCAGAACCAAAGTCATGTTTGCATCAATTATGGCACTGACTTGTGCACAAAAATAGTCTGATATTAACCAAATTGTGGTCATGCTATACAGGAAACAACATTAAATATTAAAAGAGATGCCATAGCCTACATTTACAGTATAAAACCTAGATTTGTAAACAATCAATCTTTCATTAAAATGTAGGGAACTGAAGGAAAAGTTTCAGCATCTCAAGCATTTTCCAGAGGAGTAGTAGTAATTTGCATTATGTGTTTATTATTAATAAACACATATGCAAATTATAAAGGAATATTGAATACACTCTTCATATATATATATATATATATATATATATATGAAGAGTGTATTCAATATTCCTTTATAATTTGCATATGTGTTTATTAATAATAAACACATAATGCAAATTACATTAGTATTTATTAATTTACATCAAGTTAAACAACTAGCTGAAATAAAAAGTAATTTATATTTTATTTTATTCCATGTAACCAAAACATTTTGTTAATGGGATTTATTTTAGTTTCAGTTTTAGTTAAATATAATAACCCTAGATATAGCATTTTTGAATCTGTAAGCAAGGCTACAATACAAGCTTTGTTGGAGGCGAAGATTATCAGAAATCTTTCAATGCTTTAAGGGAAAATACAGGGAAAGCAGGCAGGGAAAGAGTAGGAGCAGTTTATGTGACTGTGTCTTCCTGTCTCGGCTCTCAGGAGACGTTCAGCCGTGTCATGTGGGTATGTCCCAGCAGTCTGAGTTTAAAATAGACTCTCTGAAAAGCTGGAATAATTCCCATAAAATGTGTCGAACAGAAAAACTACGGCCCAGAGCTGCTCCTCAGCTCGATTTCCAGGACTGACTGACTGCCGCTTTCCTTCAAACACACACACTTTCCTGTTCAATTCTCTTGTGTTCTTTCTATTTGACACACTCAGTCAAGATTTTGAGCCGCTGAGCTCAGTAATGGGGTCCAGTCCAGGGCAGCAGATTCGCTAAGAGTCCCCCACTGAGAGACCTCTACGTTGGGCGCAGATCTCCGCCTGGCCCCTATAACCCTCAAATCCCCTCCCAGCTCCTCTGTCCAGCCTGTCAGACTAATAGAGATGTAGCCAATAATCTGCCTCTCTGTGGGTCACCTGTCCGTTACACAGACCGCTGCAGATTCACTCAGTACTGCAGCTGCAGGACGTGTTTAAAGGCATGCAGGCCGTTTATGACATGCAATCACATGCACAGAGACACAGAAAACCTGACAGTATATAATAGTTAATCTAGTCATGTTCATTATATATATATATATATATATATAAAATATGCATAATGCATTATATATTTTTGTTTCAATAACTAATAATATAAAGATCCCACTAATGTCAAAATTTGTACAAAATATGACAATGTTTGTGTATATATACATTTTTCTGTATATTTATATTATATTTTAAATATTTCAAAATATGTAAATCATATTATAAATTAAAAAATATGTAATATTATTTTTATTTAATGCTGCCATGCTAATTACAATTCTCACTGTTTTTTTTAAAGAAACTGCTTACACATACAAAATAAATTGTAATATTTAATAAATCTGATACTGCCATCCTAATTGCTTTTTTATATAAAATAATTACATAGCTTTTGTACATAAAATTGAGCAAAATATATTTTAATATTATAATTTGATGCTGCCACAATAGTGATTCTCATTGTTTACACACACACACACACACACACAATACTACATTTTAATAAAACGGTGATGATCACAATTAGGAGGTTGGCAGCATCAAATTTATATTTACACAAAATAAAACCAATAAGAAGAAACATCCTAAATCATATGACTGCATCAGCAGCAATGATGAACTGCATTTAATTAGATTATTATTTCACCGAAAAGGAAAAAAAAAAAAAACTGAAGACACAGTGACACGCAGGGACTTCAGGGAACATAAATGAGTGATGACTCAAATGAACCTCTGAATTGTTTTTGTTTTTAATCAATTCATAGAAATGAACCATCAGATTGATTCAGCTTTCCAAAATGAAAAACTTCCCAAAGGAACACAGAGTCGAGAGGACAATTAAGTAGAAGACGTTTGATTACTGCAGCTCAGAAGGTCATTGTTAGTTGAAACATAAAACAGCTAAAAAGTTGCACTATTCTGAAAACAGATTCATTACTTATAGTAAGTTACAGGTCAACATGACTAAAGCAGATGTTGTGATAGTAACTTATTGTCAGTAGTCGTTACCTTGCCCTTGTCGAAGTAATTGATGATCTCCTGGTACAGCTGGTCTTTGAGTTGACACTGAGTGCTCGCTTGGTAGCCGTCTCTCTGCGTCAGGTGGGCGGCACAGGCCTCTTCAGACCACTGACAAAACAACAACACAATTACACTCTTCAAATACACTGCATTAACCCACCAGTGACCCGATGAGAGTACTGTTGAGTTCACCATTAGATCTAATCAATATCTATACACAGAAAAATACAAACAGAAGTCAACATGAAACTTTAAAAGGGTCGTATAATTATATATTTTCCTTCATCTTTTGAAATAAAGTTCATTATATGATGAAAACCTAATGTAACTCAGAACTTCCCACGCAAGTGAGATGCAAAGCAGCAAAAACATCCATCGAAGTTACAATATGTGAATTCATTAATACAACCGCCCACATATATACACATTAATGATGCCTGTTATGCATTCAGAAACCTGGTTTGTCCAGTCAAGGTGAGGTAATAAAGATATTATTACTTCAAAACGAGATCCCTGATGATTTCAGTCTGATCTGAACCATTTGGGCGACACATTTCAGATCATTTTATGGAAAGCATCAAGGCAATGCGGTATAAAAAGCCCATATTCAAAGCAACAGAGAAAGTGGTCATGGAAAAACGGACTGTTTTAGTGGAAAAAAAAACATTGTAAGTGGACCACAGGGGGAAAAAAAAACAAAATGCAAGAAACAAAAAATGATTCGACCCAACTGAACAATAAACGAAAATCTGCGATATGCAGGTGCACAAACACAAACACACAGAGCAGCGTGGTCGCTTTCAGATCGCAGCTGCTGGCGATATTAATTTTGTTGTGCTGAGAATCTGAAAGGTTTTGGCTGTATTTCTGTGCTGGCGTCGAGAGCCCATCTGATAACGCTGATTTATGTGGCCACACTGTAATATTCATTACAGATGCTGCCTGATCCTGTAAACAAGTGATTATTGGGAGAAGCTGTGCAGATTAAGAACTCTTGGTTTTTTGCTGACCGCTCAGTTCAAAGCCTCTGTGGAATAAAAACGTGCACGCACAGGAAAACAAGCGATCTGATTGGCTGGAGCGGGTCAGCTGACTCCCCTGCGGGCCGCAGCTATTGGCTGGAGCGTTGAGCTACTGTATTGTGCTAAAGGCTCTGTCAGGACTGATTCACTGTATTGTAAACGTAATTGACATTTCATGGAGCTTTGTGCAACAGCGGGGGTCAAACACCTCAGGAAAGTGCATCAACGTCGTGAGGAGCAACTTAAGGTTGTAATGCTTAATTAAGCCAAACATATCAACGTTTTAACATATATTTTACAGTTTATTAACTTAGCTTGTGATAGCACAAAGCAGTTTACCAACACAGACTCATTATTTGTCTGAATGCATGTTTGAAGACTGACAAAATATATTTTGAATCACTGCAGGCACCCATAGAACAGGACTGATCTCACCAACTTCCAAGAGAGAAGATAATAAGATGCGCAGGTTCAGGTTTTGGTGATATCCCTGAACAAGCGTGTGCATGTGGGAGCGTCGCTCTTGTATGCAGGAGCAAACAGAACGAAGGCAGCTATTTATGAAAAGAAGCTGCGTGGGTTCGAGAGAACGTGGTGTTCCCTCGCTCACTGTGACAGCCGATTCCCTCATCGAATTACTCCTGTAAAGCCCTAAACGAATCAGAACACACGCAGAGCCCAAACGCAGATGTGATTAAACAGCAAGCCAATCTACATATTTATCCATTTGCTCAACTAACAGTTAATGCCACTTATCAAGACTAACTCCCAAGATTCACCAGAACAAATTTGCATTTCCTAAAGGACAGAGTAGCACTTGCAAAGCAGCCTCATAATATAATGTTAATGTTTTAGGTGAGATTAGGTTTTAGGTCAGGTAAATGTGCAAATTAAATGGTGCATCAGAGCTTTGCGTTTGTCATGACATGCTTATTGTTTTCTATCTGCTGTGCACAAGAATCAATATAAGGCAGCTTTGAAAATGAAAATTTGATCAAAATTTACTCAGCCTCAGGCCATCCAAGATGTAGAGTTTGTTTCCTCATCAGAACAGATTTGGAGAAATGTAGTATTCCATCACTTGCTCACCAAAAGATCCTCTGCAGTGAATGGGTGCCGTCAGAATGAGAATGTTTATAGTCCAAAAAATATGTTGGTGGATTTTGATGTGAGAGGAAAACTGGGGATGGGCATTATCACTGGAGGAAGTGTTAATATAGATTATGGATTCATATTTTACCTGGAAGCAATAGTTTAGATTTTCATTCTTGGGGAACTTTTCTCTTAAACAGATATAAAAAAAGATCAGCAACAAATCACTATGCAAATAAATGCAAGAAAACGAAACCACTCGCAATTCAGTATGCAAATATGACTGTCAGTTAAGTATACAAAAACCAAAAAGGGTCCCTGTACGTTAAGTAATTCTGCATGAATCAATTAAAAAAGTCTTAATACTTGGGTATTAAATTTAATACTTTAAGTTTGATCAGTTTTATACTGAATGCTAATTAATTTTAATACTTAAAGCCATGTAAGAACCGCAATCACGTCTTTGGCAAAGTTTAAGGGTCTTTATACCAGATATTTTTGTTCTCAAATCTGCACTTGAGGTGACTTTCTAAATGTCAGACGAGAACGGCAAATGCTCGTTCACCTAAGCAGGGAAAAAACATCCTTCTGTAGAACTTCAGCACTCAGAAATGGAAATGTGCATGAATTATTCCTGTCTGAGTCTTCAACAGCGAGATTTCCAATTAAATTATACCTGCTATACTGTAGATCCTGCTGTTAAATGAGTGTATGATCATTATTATCACATGTACACTGAACCTTTATTTACTGGCATGAGTATGAATCAAAGTAGTGTGTTTACTGGAGACATCCAGAGACATCTTCAAAGGTAAAGAGTAGGGCTGCCCCCTAATAGTCGACTAACCATTAGTCGACCAGAAGAGGCTTGGTCGACCAAAATTTTATTAGTTGCTTAGTCGCAGAATAAATAAATAAAACTCCACATTGGCGAAGTCACGCAGATCGTTAACGGCTGGTCTATGTGGTAGGTTAATACAGTACATCGGGCAGGACATCCAAACACTCATCATTCATTGACTTCAAGTATGGCTTATCTTAAATATGCAGCAACTTTACATGGCCGCTCAATCTAATGTTAACCTAGAAAAAATTGCGCTATTCAAGTGTCTGTGCGGAGTGTGGAGCTGAATAGTAGCACGCTCACTTGCACTTAAAATACTCCGTCATTTTTGGTCATACAGATAAGAGTAATAACAGACATTTCTTGCTGGATGAAGGACCATCACCTTCATCACCAAAAAGAATGCATGTCACACCTCTGTTTATCAATTTGCACTGGCTACCAATAGCTGCTCGCATAACATTCAAGGCATTAATGTTTGCCTACAACACCACCACTGGCTCTGCACCCCTTTACCTAAATTCATTACTTCAGACTTATGTGCCCTCTAGAAGCTTGCGTTCTGCAAGTGAACGGCGCTTTATTGTGCCATCTCAAAGTAGTACAAAATCACTTTCACGGACTTTTAAATTAAATGTTCCATCCTGGTGGAATGAGCTGCCCAACTCAATCCGAGCAGCTGAGTCCTTAACCATCTTCAAGAATCGGCTAAAAACACATCTCGTCCATCTTTATTTGACACTCTAACTCTAGCACTCTCTATTCTAACTCTATTCTTAAAAAAAATAAAAACACTTGTCCCTTTTAGACTTGCACTCTATTAATTTGCTGCTTGTTTTCTTTAAAAAAAACAAGCTTGCTCTATTCTTTTTCTATTCTATCCGTTTTCTTTTTATTTATTATATTATTTTAAAAACCCTTGCTACGTGTATTGTGTTAAGCAAACTGAGACTTGTTATAGCACTTTTATATCATTGCTCTTTTGTTGATTTTGATTGCTTCCATTGTCCTCATTTGTAAGTCGCTTTGGATAAAAGCGTCTGCTAAATGACTAAATGTAAATGTAAATTTAATACACCTTTCGAATCTGTAAAGACTCTACGTTTATTTGTGTGCACTCATAATAACAACAAAACATTGCGCTTTTCTAAAAAAAGCATACAGGATGTGCTTTCTGCTTCTCTGTCTCTGTAAACTTGAGCGCGAAACTCTGTGTATAGGCTATCTTTGCCTTACAGACATAAAAAATATATATATCTATAGAGACTGAAATGTCTACTTTCAAATAAACCAATTCAAATGGAAAACAAATATTCTCAAATTATGTAATCCGTATGAAACATGCATACAGGTGCATCACTACTGCAGAGATGACGAGTCAGTGTCGCCGACTTCATCTCTTAAACCGAAAACAAACAAAAAAGCACTAGTTTATCAATGAATTATTAAAATGTTAATGCAGCCTCAATACTATTTTCCCTGAAACATTCATAATCATTACTTCTGCTGATGTGTCGTGGGTGGCAAGTTTTATGCATGCGCTTGAGCGCTTATTAGGCAATGTAGGCAATTAAAGGTGCATTATTATGATTTAAATGATTGATTCATAAATGTGCGATTAGTCGACTAATGCTTCCAATGAACGACTACTAGTTGACCAGACAAATCTTTAGTCGAGGGCAGCCCTAGTAAAGAGCATATCTAGTCAGATAAACGTGTGGAGTTACCTTGAGGAGTTTAGCGTGCAGCAGTAAGGTGTATCCAGCCTCGGTGTAGTTATCACACTCCTTATGCAGGTCACAAAGCTTATACAGGTACCTACACACGCACGCAAAATGACATAAAAAAAAAAACTTTAACAATAAACTCACAAAGGCCACCAGCTCAGAGGAGCTACAAAGTTCAGATTAACTCGACATTCACATATTGTATGAGTCCATACACAAGGAATGATAGAGAAACCTTTGTTTTCTATTCTTAAGATTCTTAAAGACAAAAATTCAAAATAGAACATAGATCATTACGGATTTCTATCTTGATTTGTCAAGACATCAGCTGTGTCCCAAATGATGCACTATACACTATGCACTTATTCTATGCAGCAAGTACTCAACTGTTTACTGCAGTAATTATATCAGTTTATTTTGTCATCCAACACACTAATCACACTATTATACAAAAAACAAAACAAAAAACAGTATAGAATAATGCATGAGTATGCAAACTGGGGTGTTTCAGTTGTGGTAAAATACACACTATAGTAAATATGATGTGAAATAATTATTCACCTGGTTACTTAGTGGAACAATGCACTAAATGCATTTGCTGAATAGAATAATGTTTTTTATCTAAATATAAAAGACAAAATATAAAACTAAAATAATATATAACATTTAAATTATATGTATATATGCATTATATGTTTATATGCCAGTGTTATTTTAGTATCTTTAAGATACTAAGTAACGATTTTATTATAATTATTATTACTATCTTTTTTTAAATATTCAATTTTTTTGTTGTTTTTATATTTTTTGTTTATTTTAGTACAAGTTAAAATAAATGAAGAATATGCTAAAGAGCAGCACGTACTGCATCTGAAATAGATTTTTTTAAATATTATAAATATATTTTCTGTCACTTTGACTCAATTTATTTGCCCTGGCCAAACAAAAGCAGAGTTTTCTTTCAAAAAAATATTTTAAATAGTCGCAGTCTTTATCTTTCCTCACTTCCATAAGCACGACTTGACCTGCATCTGGAATTCTCATTGGTTAGTTTTTTTTTTTCCTCTTTCATTTTTCCATGTTCTTACACACACACACACACACACACACACAAAGCCACTCACCTGATGTACATCTCTTCTCTCTCGATCTCCTTGTAGAAATTCTGCAAGGGAAACAGGCACATACAAGGTCACTTATTCATACTAAACACATCCTGACCTCAGTTCACAAAGACCTACACATCTGTGTTTCAGAGATAATGGGCTCTAGAAGAATTCATCATCATCCCTGTGACGTCTTCTGTCCTTGTGCACTCGTGCTGTTGATTTCTACACCGACCAACGAGACGATATGAGAGTCATGTTTAACACGAGGACTCTAACGGCACGTTCCACACACACACACACACACACACAAAGCCACTCACCTGATGTACATCTCTTCTCTCTCGATCTCCTTATAGAAATTCTGCAAGGGAAACAGGCACATACAAGGTCACTTATTCATACTAAACACATCCTGACCTCAGTTCACAAAGACCTACACATCTGTGTTTCAGAGATAATGGGCTCTAGAAGAATTCATCATCATCCCTGTGACGTCTTCTGTCCTTGTGCACTCGTGCTGTTGATTTCTACACCGACCAACGAGACGATATGAGAGTCATGTTTAACACGAGGACTCTAACGGCACGTTCAGATTTAATGTGCATTTGTGTCTTAGTACATCCTGCTAACAAATAGATGTTCAGTTCACTTGTAAAACTGGTGATTACATGTGTGAGCGTGCAGTCAATCACACAAGTTAACAGCATTGTTTCAGTGAGAGATTGTTTTTGATATGCAAGTACTGTCAGCTTCAAGTTCTTCATTGATGCTACGTTTGAAGAAAGCCGTAACATTAATGCTCGTGGGCATGTACAAAGAGTTTGAGCCAATTATAAAGTTACAAAGAAGCTGATGCAATTACTCCACGCCATCAGGACGCCTACACACAACAGTTACAGCGCACTCCGTCAGGAAATAGATGCATTTATATGAGTGAAGATGCACTGTAAAACTCAAGGGTTTGCTGCATTGGCGCTCCGTTGAGAAACAAAATGTTCTCCTCACCAGCACATTGACTGTGCAGCTCATGCGGTTCTCCTTGCTCTCGTCGTGCATGATGGTCCTGTAGTCCAGAAGTCTCTCCAATAGACGGACCACCAGAGTTACGAAGGTTTCACCTGACTTAGCCAGATACTTGTGCTTCCTGCAGTGCTCCAACAGACTGTCTCACACACACACACACACACACACACACATTAAAATTGGAAGACACACTACAATGTCATAAACTGTAGACATGCAACAGCATGTGCAATGTATGTAGAGTCAACATGAAAGCGATTTTGATTTCATGCTCATGCTTTATATGTCCCTAAACTCCTTATGAAAGTCAACATTAATTACCATAATACAGTGTATTTTCAAGCAAAATGCACTGACGAGTTAGGCATTATGATATTGGTTTACAGTTGTGCATGGACCATTGATACATCAGAAAAAAAATAATAATTTGAGAAGCAAAGTTGTATTTCACTGAAAGATTTACTTTCAATGAAAATAAACATACATTTTCTTTAAGCAAAGAACATTTTATATGCAAAGAAAATACATTTAATTTTAAACATTTAATATGGATATTTAATATGAAATACCAGTGTTATTATAGATTAACAAAAATGCTATTGTGGTTTGTTAATATTTAGATTTCATTTTTATATTTTCTGTTTTCACTTCTCAAAGTTTTTGTAATTTTGTTGTGTTTTTATTAGTTTTTATATATAATACATATATATTTTAAATATAATTTTATGTAGTTTTTGTATTTTTTATATATATAATATATCTATAGTTATTATTTTTTATTTATTATTTTTTTTATTTAGTTTAAGTTATTTTAGTACTTAAGTAAAACTAAACAAAATTTAGAAATGTTTCCTTGGCTAATAGCTGATATATATATATATATCAGCTATTAGCTATTAGCTATATTATTATATATATTTTTGATTTTTCGATTTTTCGTTTTGATTTTTCTTAATAAATAAAAATGTAATATTTATACTATATTACATAGTATAAATACTATATTAAATATTTAATATAGAAACATCCAAATTAATTAGGGTTCGTTTTGATTTTTTTGGGGGTCGTTAAAAACGAGCATCATGTAGAAATGATATCAATATCACTATCAGTGTGTGCAATCTGCGCTCACATCTTCTGGAAGAGGATTTTGTACTGTTCGTCTCCTCGACCGCCTTCCACCTCGTGATCCAGCTTGGTGATGATTTCGTTCTCAAACTGCAATTAAACACAGTGGCCGTAAATAACGAGTGTGGCTAATTTTTTCATTTCATTAGCGTCATTCCTCCCAACCCTCCTCTCTCTCCTCCTCCTGCGTTTTCTCGCTCTCTTGTGCTGTGTCAGAGAGTAATCAGCCGTTAACAGTCACAGCGACTGTGAGCTCAACTTTATCTGCTCATTACCATAACTGCGCTTTATCAGACACACACACACACAGACAAAGACACAGACACAGACACAGACACAGACAGACACAGACACACACAGACTCTCACACACACACACACACACACACAGACACACACAGACACAGACACACACACACACACACGTTAGATAACTCACAGACCTACTGTAGATGTCCTTATTAGCACCAATTTTACGAATTAAAATACCCTAACTTGATAAAGTTTAATGCAATTGTTGCCTGGTGGACAATAAAACTGCTATAAAAGCCCATAAACTAAACATCATGACTAGTGCTTCACTTCCACGTTTAGACTGGATTGTATTTGTTACAATCTCAATACAGTGGAATTAACATTACAAATTAATTTATTTCTGATACAAATACAAACATGAAAAGCAGATGTCTATAGTAAATGTGCAATATATATATTTGCGCCTTACTTCAGTTATATTTTAAATAATTAAAACAAAGAAAATAAAATGATAGAATTATAAAATAAAGCAAAATACAGAGTAGTATAGCAAAAATACATATTTTATGATAAAAACACAAATGTAACAAGCAGATAGTTCACTGTCTATGGTAAATGTGCAATACATATTTGCAGCTTATTTTGGTAAATTTGAAAGAAATAAAACAAAATAAAACTAAACTAAATTAAATTAAATACATTTCTAATTTTTAAGTAGTAGTTCATTTTATTGTTGGCTTTTCCAAGGGTTGCTAGACTAAATTTCATTGCATTGCACATAATATGAAATGTTTGACGTTTATCAAATATTTGCTCAAACTACAAACAAAGGTCAACACGCAATGAACACCACCAAAGCACGAGAGAGAAATGGACGGTTTTATACACACGGGACGCCTGTCTGCCAGTGTTCCCGATCAAGCAGTTCACTGTCTATGGTAAATGTGCAATACATATTTGCAGCTTATTTTGGTAAATTTGAAAGAAATAAAACAAAATTAAACAAAATTAAATTAAATACATTTCTAATTTTTAAGTAGTAGTTCATTTTATTGTTGGCTTTTCCAAGGGTTGCTAGACTAAATTTCATTGCATTGCACATAATATGAAATGTTTGACGTTTATCAAATATTTGCTCAAACTACAAGCCTAGGTCAACACGCAATGAACACCACCAAAGCACGAGAGAGAAATGGACGGTTTTATACACACGGGACGCCTGTCTGCCAGTGTTCCCGATCAAGCAGTCAGAACAGCAATTACCTCTTCATACAGACTCAAGTGCTCTGAGACTCAAAGTCCACATCACAATCTCTGAACGGATGTGACTGATATTCTGTGTCATCACTTGCATTAATGTTCAATACGCTCTCATATTAATGTACTAGTGCATCCCATGGGACAGGCAGGGCGTCAAATACTCGCTGAACCTGTGAGAGATTTCAGATCAAACCGAAGCTGCAGTTTGCAGTCCAAAGACACTCTCGCATATGTAGATGATCATAAAAGCAAAGCATATCAGAGGAAGCAGTGAATCCATAACCTTCCAGCAGTGATCTTTGAGGTAGACGAAGATCTCTGAGGGATGTGGAACGAGGGCTGCATCCGAATTTGTACACTAGATAGTATGCAAGAACAGAACTAGCAGATCTTGACGTACAGTATGTTAGAAGAATGCAAATGAACTGTTTTTCGAATGAAATGTTTTTTTTTTAAACCATGAATGGCTGTGTTCGAATGCTCACATGCGTATTTGCACACATGCTCTATTAAGAGCACTGCGACTGTCTGTTTACTTGAATAATTACATTAAAAACCAGAAGCAATGTTTAATTACTGAGAAACACCTGAAGACTACATGTTCAGTTTATATTGTTAGCATTTTAATATTTAAATATGATTTTAATATTTAAAAAGAACATTTTAATATGTTCTGTAGCATATTAGGTTTTGCTGTGCTAATAAAATCATGATTTTTTGTATTTAGCATTGACTACTGAAATGTTGGTATCGTGACACTACTAAAAATGACTGTAAATGCACTACCAAAAGACCCTGTATCAATTATTGTGGTCAGTAATTTTTTTTATTTTCCTTTTTTTTTTTTAAAGAAATTAATACTTTTATTCAGCAATGATGCATTAAACTTAAAAAATGAAAGTAAAGATATTCATAATGGTGCAAAAGATTTCTATTTCAAATGTAATATTTATATTCATCAAAAAAAAGTATATCACTTTCCACAAAAGAAGGAAAAAAATAACCAGCTAAACTGTGCTTAACTATAATAATAAAAAGAAATGTTTCTTAAACAGCAAATCAGCATATCAGAATGATTTCTGAAGGATCATGTGACACTGAAGACTTGAGTAATGATGCTGAAAATTCAGCTGCGCATCACAAGAAATAAATTGCATTTTCATATATATTCACATAGAAACCAGTTATTTTAAATCGAAATAATATTTCAAATTTGTTACTGTATTTTTGATCAAATAAAAGCAGCTTTTGTGAGCACAATATTTAAAAAAAATTCCTGACCCCAAACTTTTGAACGGTATAGTGCACTTTCCCATGAACTGTACTATTAGTATGCAGTACAAGTAGGGATGTAACGATTCACTCAACTCACGATTCGATTCGATTCCTGATTTTGATTTCACGATTCGATTTGATTCACAATTTTATTTTTATTTTTTACAAAATGAGATTTAAGACAAATTATAAATTAAATGTGTCCTTTTATTATTGCTTGGACAAAATACTGTACGTTTCTTTGTGAAATTGAAATATAACACTATAATAATATACTAATATAGCACTTTGGACTAGTCGCTTTGGATAAAAGCGTTTGCTAAATAACAAAATTTAAATATAATGTAAATGTAAATAACAAAACTAAATTGAAAGTTTAAAACAAGCCCCAAATCAAAAAAATAAGCAACAAATTAAAGAAATATCTTCATATAAACAAACTAAGGCTTTGTCTGTGCT